GTGCGTAGAGAGACTCCCGTGCCGCCAGAGTCGTGAGCTGCCGGACCCGCAGTCTGGACGAGAACCGCACCCGTTACACGGCCGTCGGGCAAGGATGCTGGTCCGTCTAGTTCCTTCAAGCGCCGTGGGCAGAGAGAAGGACGAAGCCGCTGATAGAAGCCGCCCCTCGCGCCCCGGACCGGAGAAGGGAGCGTGTGCGGCCGCCGGACTCCGCCCCTTACCTGGACCCTTCCTTCCTTCCTAACCACTGCCTTTCCCTTCACGAACCTTGCAGCACGACGAGGACACCAGATCCCCTGTTTATTTTGGACACTTGATTCCCTTTTTTCTGGACACTGTTTATTTTCTGTTAATAAACTGTGTCTGTCGCTTGCTCCTCCCGCGACAACACACCCATTAACATAAACCACACCAAAGCGCGTACACACCTCACGCACCGGAAGCCGTGCGCGCACACAAAGACAGTTGGACATAGTGGTGAATTAGAGGTAAAAAATGAGAGAGATACTGTTCGGTTTCTGGCACAAACCGATCGTTTCGTGTCTTAGGACATCAATGTGTCGTCACGAGCCGCAGGGTTTAATTTGGATTTGTCTATGCATGTTTTTTTTTTATACATATATTTTGTTACCATTGCATTGCATTATAAGACTGATAGACTCCAACGGTTGGACTTAAAAATCATCAAATGTGTTCTACTGAAGAAACAAAGTCACCTACATCTTGGATGCCCTGGGGGTAAGCAGATAAACACAAAATTTTCATTTTTGGGTGAACTATCCCTTTAACGTTTTGGCTGAAATGTCAGAATAGATGTCTGGAAGAAAACTAATCTCCCTCTGACTTTTTCGCATTGTCCTCTGTCTCAACTGACATGTTTTAGCAACCTTTACAGGGCATCTATGCACGGACTACCCAGCTTACATCTAGACTAGCTCTTCTTTAATTAACTCACAGGATGCTCTGTTTGACCCGCTGTGTGTGCTCTGAAGGGGATGACACCAGGCATGTTGCACCAGAGTTGGTAATTGTCACAGAAAAAGACTCATTCTTTATTCTCTCTAAATTAAGTCATCTCTCTTTTTCTTCAAATTAATCCACTCCATCTAAACCTTCATGGCCCCTCCCCCTCATAACAGAAACCCCTCCCTTTTACTCTATTCCTCATGCTCATTAAACTATAATGTGGTTTTAATCAGCTCATCACCTCTGGAATAGATCTGTGGAGACCATTTCTCCTCTCAGAGGAAAACTGTACTGCTCAAAGGGTCTTTTATAGCACAGGAGACTTTAAAAATACGTTTCATATGAGTAGCGACATTGATGTTTCTCCTACAGTTCCTATGAGAAATACAAACACTCGCATTTTCGTTGGATAAACATACAGCCCGTCCCATATTACACAACTGGTTTAGCTAATGTGCATTTTAAATATGTAAAAAAACGCACATTACATTTGAAGGAATATTACATGTTCAGTACAAGTTAGGTTCATTCAGACAGCATTTCTGGCATAATGTTGATTACCTAAAAAATAATTTGGAGTTGGACTCTAAAATGTTTATTTATAATTTGGTGACATAATTGTTTTTGAGAAAAACATGCAGCTTACAATTTTATAAAAGCACTTACATAATTTAAACTTACATATTTAATACACATGTATAATAGTAAAAAATAAATAAATAAATAATGGAATGGTTTTTTGAAAAATTAATAATATCAGTATTGTCTTTTTTGTTGAATATCATATTTGATATACTGTTGGAGGATATGAAGCTCGTATTAGAGATGGAAAAACACCAGTTTTATTCAAAGGCTCAAACTGAGCAAAGATATGTATTTGGTGCAATTTCTAATATTTATATTGCCAAAATGTAAGATGAAATTCTGATAGCTTGTAATATAAATCAGTTGGATCTTTATACGAGTGTAACACACTACTTACATACGAAATCAGTTGTCACTCTATATTTCCCAATGATATGTCTTAGTCAGATGATATTTAAGTGCTTAGTTTTATGATCAAAGCTTTGTTTCTTGCTTCTTCCTTTTTTCTTTTTCTTTTTTTATGAGGGATTTTCCTACAAAATTATGTATGGATAATCAAGTAAACCTTAGTTGCTTTAGTCCAGTTCACTTTGAAATATTACTAACAATATAAAAGTTATTCTTATATATTTTTTTTATAAAACAGTAAATAATTCACACACACACACACAAAAACCCAACCTGAAGGCGGATACTGCAAGGTCTAACTATAAAAGTATAAACTATCAATCAGATGAGAGAAGGCATGTATTAGATTATGTGCAACAGGTTTTATAACAATGTTTTGATCAAGCTGATAATTTAGAGGCCTTAAACATTTGAGTATCAAATATGATACAATAGGATTTATAGAGTTAAACTGTAAAGATGCGTAAATTATTGGTGCTGTGTCGTCATGGCAACAAAGTTAGAAAATGTTATTAATCAATATTCCACTTTAAAAAATGACGTTAATACACATGTTTTTATATCTTGTGGCTATATTATTGCAACATAGTTTTTTATATGCTTGGCCCCAGTCTTTCATTGTAACATAGATTTGTTATTTTTCTTTAAAGAAAAGAAGGTACAAGTGGGAAATAATTTCTCTGCCAATCAATATTATGTCAGAAATGCTGTCAGAATGTTCTCGGAATATTCCTTGTCTCTCTCCTTTGCATTTAATAGCATTGCTGTCTTGGAGAAACAATTGAGATATTAAGATCGCAATTGTAATTTTTCTTTCTTATGGGCTTTTCCCTTTCTCCTCTGTGAGGTAAATAACTACTGTACACTGCCTGAGAAAATACAAGGCCAAACCTTTCTCCTTTGTTTTTGACCAAACTATGAAAGCACCCAGAGGCAGGAAGCGTAAATAAAGTAAATTGCTATAGGATGCCATAACATGAGGCTGTTTGAAATAGAGGGTGAAGTGACAGTCATTTAAAAGCTCATCTGGCTGGGCTGGCATGGCGTTACTCAACAAGACAAATGGCTGGAGTAGTCAGCTTGCTGTAGTGGCTTCACCAGCAGACAAAGGAAACCTACTTAATAGATATTACAAAGCAAAGCGAGAAAGTTCTGCACTACTCTGCTCACACAAGCTATTTCTTAAAGGCCGCCCATGTTTCTTTCCCTGCAATATCTCTCCTCTTTTAGCCATCTCGGCATGCTGCGTTTTCTCTAAAGCTTTCATCACCTCTCCTCCCCAGCTGCCTTCAGCATCGCCTACACACAGCTGCTTCGAGCATGACTTCCTGGGCAGATGCTTCCTCTGGACACTACAATAGAGAGAGTTCAATGTGCATGATACTGACAAGGACAGCGCTGTATATTTAACTGCAGTCAAGTAGGAGGAAAATATAGAGACTTCATCTATTACGGGGAAAGGTGTTGCTTCAGCTATCGGCACTTTGGCCCTAACTACACTCGCTTAAAACAAACTTTTCACACTCTCGCTAGATAAAATTGTCCAATAACAAAGTTCAACAGTGTATATATTCATACATCACAGGAGAATTCTATCATGTTTTTTGAAAACCAAGAGTATTTCCAGCACATTTTAAATTCTGTATTGTATGACGATGGCATAAATTACGTTCTGGCATCTTGCACATTTGGTATTCGCTATTTTTAACCAAAGTGATATTACAGCGACCAAAGATTCATTATATTCTGCGATTTTTAACTAAACCACCATCAACAGAGCCGTCGTGTTTTGTTTATGTTTGGAAGGCTACTTCGCAGAGAGCACTCTTGAAGGGTTGCCATGTCCACTTATTATAAGTGACACTTTTTAAGTGTCTTTGAGCTTGTTGTTTGGGCTCATAAAGCGATCCAGTTTACATTTGGATTTCAGTTTATTGTGGGAATGTTATTATTTGCTGTTTTTTTTTTTTTCAACATCTGGCTACATTAGTGAGTCAAAAATGTACCCTGTGATCTCCTGTACTGCGCATACAGAAGAAACACAACTCGGATATGCGTTAAAAGAAGTCATTAACAGCTAGTTGTTCGATTCATTTCATACACACTGCGTAAAATTTTTGTAAATGCGGTTGTCATTGAATTTTTTGGGAGTCAAATCGGTTGTACAATGCGGTTGTCACTCCCGTAAATGACTGAACTGTGTGTGTACAGAACAAAATTAAGCACTAAAAGGTGAACTGACAACCGAATTTAGCTGCAGTGTGTACATGGCCAATGATCACCTACTTTGTCTACCTAAGGCTAATTTCACAATACAAGGCCAAACCATTCTTCATTGTTTTTGACCAAACTTCTATTTAGCCCATGAAAAACAGTAACTTGTCCAGTAACAATGTTCAACAGTAGATATTCATACTTCACAGGAGAATTCTGCCTCTTTTTTTCCTGAAAATAAAGAACATTTCCACTATATCTCAAAATATGTATTGTTTCATATCATTCTGAGATGGAAATGACAATAGCGAGAAAAGATGTTAAACGTTTTTCAGAATAAAATGGCAGCATCCGTTGTGTTCCTAAGGCTAATTTCACAGCTAGCATATTATGTATCTGAAATACACACAATATACATATAATATTTTTATAATGTTGGCATAATTTGACAATTGCAGCCTGATTTGAAATGAATAAAAAATGTGAAATCTTCCTTGATTTCCCTTTGTTTTCTTCACACATTGCATAACTCATATTTCATTTCAAGCAGCATGTCCACTGACAGTTTTGTTTCCATGGTAACAAAGAACACTAACTTCTGAAAAAAATGTATTGAGGACAAATGTTTGTTTTGAAAGAAAACAGCACATCAATTGAGAAATAATCACTGGTCTCTCTCTCTCTCTCTCTCTCTATATATATATATATATATTAGGTTAAATAAATGATGATGGCATGGTAAATATTATCTAAGACAGCGCATGTTATTTGCCCAGAATGCAGATGTTTGATGGCTTTGTGGAATCAAATCTGTGTATGTGTGCAAGGGAAGAAGAAGGGTGCTGAAGTTGTAGGGGCTATTAGCGATAAGGGGGTTGACATCAGTTGATAACACTGTGTGTGAGCCAAAACACTGGACTCTTTGAGCTGTCAATCAGGTTTACACACACACACACCCACACCCCTCCTACTTTTTCAAACCTATCTGAGATGTCAGATTGGATAGCTAATAGCCACATCGATGTGGAAATAGCATCTCAAAGCAAATAAGATGCTGATGTCTCTCAAACAGGAAGAAAATCAATTACACACCGTTTTTAGTTTTGCTGCTCTGAGACGTAAAGGCCAAACACAATTATCAACAACACGTAAACAAATACAATACGAACTGACAGAATCACATGAGCAGCTATCTAATAGATGTCAATGGAGACTGACCAGCAGAAAGCAATTATATTACATAAATCAAATACCACAACAATGTAGAAGGAACTGCAATCAAATTGGAAACAGGTTTTGCTGATAACTTGTTTACATTCTGAAGTTATCAGTTTACCTGTAAAATGAGAGAGAAGTTAAAAAAAGAAAGAAACTGAAACAACTTGTGCAAATGAGAGTTAAAGGACCTCTGGTCGGTCTTATCAATGCATAGTTAATTTTGCATATGACTATAATGTCGCTGCATACTTATTTATCACATCTCTATGGAGCTGTGTAGCTTTAATTATCTGAGGGTGCTTTCACACCTGTAGATCGATTGCTTTGTTCCAAAACGGGTATTAAAATTATTACAATGTTGCTTTTTATTCTTGGTGCGGTTCGCTTTCACAAGTTTCTAAACGGACCAAATTTGTTAATACAAGTCACGCGCGAGTAAACTGTTCTCTCATTGGTCAAAGTTCCATGGTTTATTTTCCGGGATTCCACTTAGCTTATTGATTGGGAAAACTTTTTTAAAATGCACCTACTACAAAGAAGAGCAATAAGACAGCATTATAAAATAAAAAAGTGCGCTTTGATTTTTGAATGGCGAAGACATGCTCACCCACAGACATTCACAGGTTCATTTTGAAGTATTAGCAAAACAACAAAGCTAATGCTTTTCACGGAACTTACGTAATTACCCATGATACATTGTGATATAGCCTGCCTGGTTCGTTGGTCCATTGGATTGGATTGCTTTCTCACTACAACCGAACCACTCCAGAGTTCGTTTTCAATCGAGCCGAGACCACCTCGTTCAGGCGATCTCGGACCGATTGTTTTGGCGCGGATCCGAGCGCGATTGCTGTGTTCACATATGCCCAAACGAACCGAGCTAAGGGGGGAAACGCGCCAGGTTCTGAAACAACAGGCCAGGTGTGAAAGCACCCTGACATTGTATTTTCGTTTTAAGCCTGATTAAATTGCATGTTTTGTCTTACTTAAGCAAGATCGGCAGCCAATGATGTGACATTGCTCCGCCTCCTAAGAAACAATAATGTATTTCTCTTATTAAAGTCTATTGTGCTCGCACGACTTTTCTTTTTCAAACTTTTCCCCCTAACAACCCCCTATTTAACCTTGTTCTTTGATTACTGATTTTATTTTGACTACAATGTTTATTTATGCTCGGTGCTCTGTGTTGTGTCTTGTGTTTGACTATACAGCATTGGACTTGGTGATTTAGGTGATGCAATAAACACTGAATCTTTTTACATTTTTTTTTTCTTCTCCTAATTATATTATTCTGCAAAGATGACATTTTGTAGGCCAAAACCTGAAAACGAGTTCCAGTTCCATCGTCTGTGATTAACACAAGCTCAAAATATTGTCATGTTTTATTCTACAATACAAAATACATTAGTAATACCTCCTTGTGATTTTTTAAAGCTTTTACTTGTCTTAAAAAAGTCCGTTTCTAACAAGTGGCTAATTAGGACTACAGAGGTTTAGGGGACATTGAACGTTATCATTAAACACCAAACAGAAAAACTCATCTACTCACTAGTCCGCTTTCACAGCCTCATTGCATTTATAATCATGCTCTTGCAGACTATTCTAACTCAAACTTTCAGGAAAGATTTTTAATTTTTTTATAAAAACTGAAAGAGTTGTTGGAAGGTTAATGGTGGTGACATTAAACGCATGCGATGGTAGTTCTGTCACGGTTGCCTTCTGTGGCGAAACGAAGAATGAGGAGACGTGGGATAAACTCAAAGTAAATGTCTTTAATCATCCAAGACGGTGTAAAACAAGGCAGGCAGGCACACACAGGAAGCACAACATCGACGTTCAATACCGGACCAACTCAGATAACACAGACAGGAACTTAAGTACATGGGGTAATTGACAAGACACACCTGGGAGCAATCAACAATCAAACACACGGGAAAACCAAATGAACATAACGAACTATAATGAGGACAGGAACATAACCAAATAAGGGCATACAGAAACAGGAGGCAGGAAGTATCGTGAAAAGCGCTGTACAAATAAACTTGACGACTTAAGTTCCGCTTTTTACTTCTGCCGATTGTATTTAGGCTTAAAAATTCATGAAAGTTGTGTTCATTTCTGAACATTATGATGAACAAAACATGTAAGAATCATAATCTTTTGTTGGTCACAGAGCTTATTTTCTGTAATGATCCAAAAGCCAATGGAAAAATCCTACTGCGTTTTTGTTGATGGAACTAGGGTGAAGCAAACTTACGGGTTGGCCTACAAAAATACGTCATCACTGGAGAACTCTATTAAACTTTGGTGCAAAATACACACTGTATCTTTTCACATAGTGAGGTTTTATATACTATTGCTCACAAGCATTACATTTTACCACCATTTGTGGTACAGACATCATGAACAATACATCAAATTGCAACCATGTAGCAATGCCCTGGTAACCATCCACAACACCTCACCATATAGTTGTCAGGAATACATATGAAAGCATGACAACACAATAAAAAGACATTATCTGATTTGTCCTAATATTTTCTTGGTACGCTTCCAACATTTAATCCTATTGTTTGGACATATCAACTATAAAGTTTAGTTGCAATCATCAGCACTTCCGATGCAAATGAGCTCTTCTGTTTTCAAGATCCTGTTGTGACGGAAACAAAGACAATGATGACAATAATGCATGTTCTTCCATCAATTTCTCTTCTGGTATTTTCGCTATAAGAATAGGCACATAATCATTCATCTCCAGTACACCATTGTTACTGTGAAATTTCTAATCGTTCCCATTACAGATTGTAGCCCACTGATTTACAATGGACATAGAAACCAGTTATAATTACTCTGTGATATATGACGGTTATTATACCATATTGAACACTATAATACGATAAAAGGCCTCCACGCCATTCACCTCTGTCGCAATCTGTGGGGGCGTACACTGCCTCAGAGCATTGAGGTGTGACAGACCTTTGATGAAGGACTTCATTTAGACCTGTTTGTGCAGTGGCTGGTCAGTCTGAGCTGAAAGAAACCTGCGGGGGATTGCGTTAAGAGACCTCTCATTAGAGAGAGTGAGGCATTATGGAGTCTTCAAGCCCATTCGAAGGCCACATACGGTTTTAGTGTTTGCTTTTGGAATTTCTGCATCTCACATGGGTAGATTACAGGAAAGTACCGGTTAGATCTCAACAATATAGAGTTGAGGGGATTATGCCACCTGTTCGTGGTGCCAGGACTCATATTGGACAATGCTCAGTTTAAGTGAGGACAAATACTGGCCTCTGGCGAAACTGGCCAGTTTAAATAACACACTTGCCATTGGAGAAGATGGAGACTACGATACTTGTTGTGTATAATTAAGGACACACAATATATTAGTACCATTACAATTATCAACCAAAATAAGTTTTTTTTTTTTTTTTAGGTAACACTTTAGAATAGGAAACACATATTCACTATTAACTAAGAGTTTTCCCTGAACAAACTCCTAATTTGCCACTTATTAATAGTTAGTAAGGTAGTTGTTAAGTTTAGGTATTGGGTTGGATTAAGGGATATTGAATATGGTCATGCAGAATAAGGCATTAATATGTGCTTAATTCTGAGGGGGAAAAGGAATGATATTTTTTTCAGAATTGTGAGTTTATATCATACATCTCTGGCTAAATTATTTTTTATGATAATATTTAAAAAGATTAGATTTAATTATTTCTTTATTTTTAGTGTTTTCTTTTTAATGTATTTAGACAAAATAGTATTACATTTTAATATCAGCCCTAACATAAAAATAATTGTCAGCTTATTGGTATCACACCAGATTTTTTATATAGGTACAGACAATCTTCCAACTTCTTGATTGGCATCTGTTGTTCCATGAAGAAGATTTAACATCCACGGAAAATTTCCATTGCACAAAAGGTGGAAAAAGCTCTTCAGATTAATAAAATATTGTTTGTGCTAAGAAAATATCCCTACCAAAAGGATCTTTTGAGAACCCAACCATGGTGTTTCTATGGACTTTGTGCAAAAACCTCCTTTTGGAACCTATATTTTAAGACTGAAGAATGAATTGGAAATAGGAGACACCATTGTGTTTAACATGAGGAAAGTCCATCACATGCAGTCATTATGATAAGAGATGAGCCACCAGGCAAAGGAGAGACAGATAACACCAATATTTGTTTGTTAACAATGCTAACTCACTGTAGAAACATAATGCTACCAGGGCAGTTTCTTTTCCAAGCAACATTGTCTGAAGCACTCTAATGAAAAATAATTATTTTAGCTTGTTCTCTAAGCGAGAATGTGCAGTTTTACATTGTGTTGGTTAATGTTCATTTGGATGAATGCCACGCACATTAATCCTTGTCTTTGCATTTAACAAAGCTAAAGACTTATAATCATCATTATTATTTATTCATTTACATTTTTTCAAGCATTGCTTCAGCATTTTGAGTTGGAGGAAAATTAGTCCTCCACTGAGGTAGCCAAGACATCAACTCCAAAACCTAAAACCTGGTCCAAAACCTAGTGAGCTGCTTCTGTATAGGCAGCATTTTAAAGCATCATACACACACTTTCGACATTAAGACTGTTCCAAAGTTTAATTTATTAAACTTAAACTTAATTATGCTGGCTCCTAAGACACCATCTTTTGCCCAAATTGAAAGGCAACATGGTATGTATCCTTCACGGAGAAAGTAATCCCAGAATGCACTGAAACGAACAAAGAAACAAAGTTGATTACAAAGGATTTATACTTCTTTCAATACTGAAAAGTATAAATAGTTTAAAAAACTGACTTTTTCTTTTTAACCCAAACGTCCTGTATTCTATGCATATTTATGCTAATGAATGCCGTTCCTCTCATGCTGTGTGAATTTAAATCAATTTTGTTTTGAGTTGTGTGGTTCACTGTTGCTGCCTAAATTAGTCACTTATGAGGTTTCATTTCAGTTAGAATGATGCCAGGGAGCTGCCTATGTAGTCAGTATGAAGCTCACATGGTTTTCACATTTTAAAAAAATTTGTTCATAAGTTTATAGTGTTTTTGCATTGCTGTCAATACTGATTTTTGTCTACTGTATGTGGAATAATTATATGATCTCTATACTTTCAAGGCTTCAGATGATAGGGTATTTAATGGTATTGTAGGAATTGTTATCTGTAGAATGTGAAGCTTCCTTCCATAAAGTCAGTCGGCTTGAAAAGCAAACTCGCTGAGTTTTCAATCATTATGCCTGCTCTGTTTTATTCAAAGCTTTCAGGTGAAGATCAGAGGTTTGGCAGTCATGACAACTCACTATGTGTTCTGTAGAATTCTAATAAAACATTACAGAGTGTATGCATTCTGCAGAGTGTTTATTATTTATTATTGTAGCACAGCATCTGCAGTCAGTAAAGGGGCCTTCATGCTGACAGTGATTTGCAGAGAAGAAGCAACTAGAAGTGATTCATTTTCAATGAGAGTTGGTGATTTCTGGCAGCGCGGGTGACAGCACCAGTTGTGGGCGTGTCCAGCTATGTCACAAAGGTGATAAAAGTTTAACTTTATGCAAATGAACAGCAACTCAATGCAGCCGCTGCTAGTAAGAACGAAAACAATGGAGCTCATGTGATCCGTCAATAGTGAGTGATTTCATTGTTCTATATGATTTGTCTGTGCTCACATGGTGATATAATTATGCATGGAAACTATGTTAGAAATTGTCAGCATTGAATTTGATTCATGCATTGATAATTGTTCATCTTGTTCATGATATGATTAATTATGCACTACTGTAATTTATATACCAACACTTTTGCCTCCAGAATGAATTTTGAGAAGGAAAAAAAACAGCTTCTGTGTAAAATAGAATGAAAGCTTATTTTTACCAACAAACATCCC